GTGCGCCTTATAGTCGTGAAAATACGGTAATTAAACACTGCAGACAACTTATTTAGCAGAGGGCCACACTGGTGAACACGTCGCAGTGGGACAGAGAGGATCATGAAATGTGGGAACTTGGAAAGAAAAAATGTCCGTAATGACAGACAGTAGATCTAGCATGGTGAAAGCCCTGTATCTGAATGTCTGGAGACGACTGCAATGCTTTGGCCATGGATTACATTCTGCAATCAGTGATTTGTAATTATGAAGTTTTAATGATGTAATGAATATAAAATGTATTTAATGTATTAGTGAGGAGTACATTTGTAAACATCTAAGGTTAGTGTTATAGTTGCTTTTACTGTTTATGTTTTAATGATGTTTCAGAAAATTGTTCCAAAGATGCAAGGATTAAAAGAGTAACTTTAGTTTGCTAGAAATGGTCAGAATGTTTCCTTTAGTTGGAAAAAGAAACAAGCCCTCACGGAAGCCGAAGCAAGCATGAATCTACCCCAGCTGAAGCTGGAAACAGAATCACCAACTTGATGGGGTTTGATCGAGATTGGTGGTGATCGAGAGAAACTTCACAAGGAAAAAAAACATCTGACAAGTTCCCAAGTCAGCCAAAAAATAAAACATCTGGCTCCCACCTTTCAAGACCTTGATGTCATGGACTCAAAAAAAAGAAAGCCCTAGAACTACACAGGCTTCACCAATGTACTTTCTGGGAAGGATTATGTGTCTATGTGAAGCATGTCCTCCATTTACTACATAATCTTCTGAAACCAGAGGATGAAGAATCAGAGCCTACAGCAAAGTGACACCTCATGGCATAACTTGCTGACCCCAGATTAAAAACTCAATACATTAACACCACAGAGAAAAAAAACAGACTGAGCAGAGCTGTGATTCTCTCTTGGCACCTGAACCAGAGCACCCAGTGCTATCTACATCCATGTCACATATCCCTGAAACAGAGCCAGCAGGGAAACCAATAGTCTTTGGCCAGCTTCTTGAAGACTGCAGCAGTTCCCTCAACATCTGCTGTAGCTGAAGAGCCCACATTAAGAGAGCTGATTAAAAAGGAATTGGAGTCCTACTTGTCCACACAATGTGTGGCTGGCTAAATGTATGATGGATGGTGGAAGGCTCATGAGGTCAATTTTCCAAATTTGAGTCAACTTGCTCAGGAACATCTTAACATCCCTGCAACAAGTTCTCCCTCTGTGTGAATGTTTAGTACTGGTCACATACGAAAGGGCAGCCCTTAAACCAGAAGCATTTGGAAAACTGCTCTTGGCAAAAAATCTGTGACTATCGTATTTTTAGGGGAGGGTCCCAAACTTGGGTTCTTTTATGGTATCAAATCCATTCACAATTGCACAAAAAGGAAAGATTCCAAACAAGATTAGTGTAACAGGGATGTCAAACAGGACAACCGGGTATCTCTGTGTGCAACATCATCCACACCCTCAGAGCATGTATTTTCTACTGCTGGAGACACCATCAGCCTTGAGGGGGCATACTGAGAAAGCAGACATGTAAACCTTTTTGAAGAAAAACTGCCAAGTAAAAAGGTCCTCAATATATAACAGTGAGCATTAGCCTCTGACCTTTCACTTGTTTGAAACTGTTCTTTTGCACTAAAAATAATGTATATATAAAAAAAGTGCTAGAAATTGTAATATCCTAGTTAAAAATAAAAGTAAAGCTTTTTTACTTTAATATGTAATGTAATTTTCTTTTTATTAGACTTTATATCAAAACTAATATCGAAAAAAGTATCACTCAGGAACCGATATCAAAGTTAAGGCATTGGTGCTGTTATCAAACATTTTTGATTGATACCCAGCCCTACTTGTTTTTATTTAATTTTTTTAGATGCAACAACAATTTTGTTTACATTCGTACAGAAGTCATAACTGCTTGCAGTATACACTGAATCCAACTCTTGTCTTCCTGTGGCAGCAGCAGTTTTCTCTATCTTTGTGCATTTACATGATTTTGTCACCTCTGTTACTTTATTAGATAATTTTGTGTGCTTAAGTTTCAATTTAGAAGATTATTATCAGACAATGCTCTTTTTTCTACTCTGTATAACTAAACCATACTACAGAGGGCAACCACTTTCCTTTCATTAATTGATGATTAGGTAGATGGGGTCACTAGCTCTACCTCTAGACAATATATCCCCTTTAAAATACAGAAAAAAATGCACAAATAGAAAGCTGGCTCCTTGATTTAATGCAGAGCTGCGCACTTCAGAAACAAAATGCCAGGAAACTGCAGAGAAAATGGCACTCTACATGCCTACAGGAATCCTACCTAGACTGGAATAACAGTTTACTGCTCAATAAAATCACCCTTTGTAAAAAAAAAACAAGAGCAGCACTTTTCTCCTCATTGATCGATGAGAATTAAGAATAATCCTAGATTTCTTTTTAATACAGTTACTAAACTCATTCAGAGCCGCTGGTCTTATGAACCAGCCATTCCATGATGAACTTTTTGAAGAGTTTCTATCAGGTTTTAGAGCCAAACATGGCACTGAAAGAGCTCTGGTTAATGTCACTAATGAGAATGAGACCGGTTGGTAAGCGCTGCCCTCTGTAACTCTGAACAATTTCTCCGGTGTGAGTCAGTTTACAATTTCTATCCAAGTCTGTTGTCATGTCAGATGTTTTTTTAATACATATACATTATGAAGTGTTAATGCAAGTGTTTGTCCCAAGTGATCTCTTCTCAGGAAAGAATTGGGGAGATAAAGGTATAAACACAGGCTTACAAAACTCTGGTCAGTAAGTGGTACTTACGGTCATGATGTCAGCGAGGTGGCCCAGATTAAGCCCGTGCAGGAGAAGTTGGACCTCATCCAGCTTTGTTGCACTGAGTAGCACAGAAAAATGATCTCAATGTTTGAAATAAAGCAATTTGTATTTTTATGTGAAATAGGCTGTGAAATGCACATTTAGAGTTAAATTAAAGTTACTTTAAATATGAAATTATTACATACTGTTCAATAAATGATAAGTGTTTTTAATTAGGAGTAATTTGCATTTCAATGTGCTTTACCGGAGGCATCCATGTTTGTCAATGAACAGTACTGCCACCTGCTGGTTTGTGATGTCATGGTGCGGTATTGGCTGTTGAGCAAGTTCCAATGCTGTATCTGGTGTTTTTTACAACTCGCTATTATCCAAGTCATCTTGAAAACATTCTTCTTCGAAATGTTGGCTACATATGTGTTTTTTTATCTGGCCAGAAGTTGGATGTCAAACCCTCCGTCTTAAAGTTGGCAATCCAAAAACGAACCCGTCGGAGGTGGATCATAAATCGGAAAGGTGAAATACCTACCCCACCCCCACTTTAACCCAATGTATTACTACATCCACGTGGGCATTGTCAGTTTCACTACAGCTCTTGTGAATTTCAATGGTGAAGTCCTCTCGAAATCTTAAATAATTGTTGTTGATTGCAGATGTGTCTAGTAGCAGCCATTAATTTTGATTGTAAAGTGGGGATAATGGCGCTAGGCTTAACGCACCGTGACATCATTGCCGAAAGATGTCAGGAGTGAAGTGTAACTATATTTGGGCAAAAATGGCAGATCCACGACTCGGTGATCGCAACAAAAAAATGTTTTATTTTTACGGATTAATGCTTAATTCATTAAATCACAGCAAACATATAAGATTTAGGTATAAATAAGGATCCACTGATTATTCATTGCTGACCAGACTTTTCCTTTAATTTTCAGTACAAGATCAGATGCAAGAACAACATCATTCAGAAGGAATGCTGTCAATAGGGGAATAACACACAAAGTTAGGCTTTCTCAGCATACCACTGCATTATTTTATATGGAGGACTGTCAGCTGTTTGTTCAGGCTGCTACAACAGTGAGCTCATAAATTAATGAAAACATTTTAGCATTAGTCTAGTTTATGTTAGACCAGACATTTTGGCTAAAAAAAATAAAATAAAAAAATAAAAAAAAAACAGCTTGCTGTCAAATTAATTGAGCCATCAGCACTTGCAGCATGTTTTTTTGAAACGGACCAAGAAGAACCCCGAGTTCAGCAGAAGCCTGAAGGTTAGAACATGTTACAACAAGCTTTTCACACCTTTATAACTCTGCCCGTCATGAAACAAGCTGGATCTGGAAATACTGGCAACTACAAGTTTTGGAGTAAAGACGACAATCTCCATTAGTTAATTACATATTTTTAGTTAGGAAAGGTGACCACATGAACCAACTAGATAAAAAAAAACAAAAAACAATTCTAAATAAATTTGAAATGTGTATTTTAAAAAGCATCTTTTTTTTTATAAAATAAAAACCGTTGACCAGCAAATTTTCTTTCCCAAACACCAATTTGTTTCACATGTGCTCTGCATATAAATATAAATCAATGGTCAGAACATTTGCAGTTAGGATTTAAATGTAGGATTATCCTTCATGTACAGACAAAAAGGCCTTGAATAAAACCAAAGTAGGAATAACCAATCACTGACTTCCCAACCGCCATGTCGGGGATTCAGCTTAGCTCTGTTCAGGTCACTCATTAATTGCAAAATCTCAGCTGAATTTCTGCTGTTTAAAGCCCGTTAAGTTGAATGAACGACTAAACCTAAAATGTCAACAGGCAAAACTTCCACATGCCAAACATGGTTAGATACAACACAAAGTTTCTGGCAGCAGCACCTTAGTGGACTAAACAACCTTGAAGGGGGTTTATTATCGTTTATGTCTGGTGGTACAATGGATCAACAACACCTGCAACACAGAAAATCCAACAGGAGGCAAACTAACTGCAAAGAGATGCAGAAGGTCACTAATGATATTCTCATGGCCTCAGATAATGGACTTGTATCTGTCCTTGTCCTGTTAGATCTCAGTGCTGCCTTTGATACAGTTGTTTATCATACTTTTTTACATTCTTTATAGAAAGACTTAAATATCCAGTGGCACAAAAAAGTTGCTAGATTTTGAAATAAATGTTTTAGAGGGGTCTGAAAAGTCGACAAAATTGCTAAGTTGGCAACACTGCTCTTCGCATCGTTTTTTTTCAAATGGTTTGCTGCTGTCTGTTTGGACCTCTCTGAACATGTGCAGCATATGGACCGATCCAATGTGGTGGACATTGGGGGAGTGGGGGGCGGGGCTGAGACCTACTTAGTATTATAAACGTTCTGAGGGTTTTTTAGCTAAAGGATTTCTATCAAAAACATAAGGAATAGCTGCATTAACCATACATGTAAACAAAGTTTTATGGGGCCCCCCAGGAACTTGGGGCCCTAGGCAACTGCCTAGTATTGCCTAATAGTAAAACTTTGTTTCTTTATACAGCATCTTACCGATCCTCTTACCTTTCCTTATAAGATGGATCATCAGGGTTTTTCCTACAAAGTTCAGAGAGCGTATCCTCTATAGAAGTGGAGGCTGGGAAAGTAGACAGCTGAGAAGATGAGGCAAATATCTGCATAATCTGCAGAAAAACAATTAAATGGTGAATATATCAATTCTGGAAACAATAAGCATGACAATCATCTTCCAGTCACATTTTAAAGTATTTTAACCAATTGTAGCTTCATGACTTTACCCGTCTATGTTGGAACATCCGAGCAAGATCAGCAGGACTTTTTCCATTCTTTGTCCTTATGGTTTTGTCAGCTCCCAGCTGAAGGAGCTTCAAGACCACCTCTTCCCTGCCATATTGTACTGCTATTGCCAAAGCCTGTTAAAACATTAACATTGATTTGTGGCAAGTCATTTTTTTCCAACAATGTCATAAACCCATTGGCTACAATTTGAGTCACACCAACTTTCTGCTGCAAACTGTCATAAAAGGGACAAAAGTGACATACTGTGTATCCTTTGCTGTCCTGTGTATTTATTGCTGCACCGTGGGACACCAGCAGATTTACAAGTTTACTGTAGCCCTCCCTGGCTGCCATCATCAGGCATGTGATTTGAGACCTTTAAAAGAGGACAACTTAGATATTAGAGGATAAATAGGGCACATAATGACCTTATGTCAAAGAAGAACAAATAACTGATAATAAAAAAAGCTTTAAAATAAGACCACTAACTATACTTCAAAATAAAATGAATTCAGTGCAGAAATACACCACCAGAGGGCAGCAATGGCCATAATGAAGTGCAACTGATTTCCAAGCTGGTTTTGTTTTTTTGTTTTGTAAAAGGCCAACAGCAATCTGTTAACTTTTCTTTCACCAGGAGAATAATTTTTAGGTGCAGCTTTAAGTTATTGTTAGGAATGGTCTTCTCTAAAATATAGAAAAACTACTTGGAAAAGTTCATCACTGAAATCAAATGATAAAAGCTCAAAGATGCCCAGTAACAATCTGCCTTATTTGGATAATTAATGAATCAGTAAATCCGAAGGTCCATCAGAATAGATCCTTAAACATACAAACCATTTTTATGCCTCAGCACAACTAATGCAAAATCCAGACATGTAGTCTATTCTTAGAAAAAAACTTAACCTATAAAGCAAGTCAGGGGATTTGGAGCACTGATACAGCCAGCAAGCTTAATCAAGCTACATTCCCCTATACATCTGGGGGTTATAAGGTTGGACAAATCAATCTAGGGTTTAATTTTAGGCTGTTGACAACACCAACTAATATAAATGCGTTTAGCTTGAGTGTCTTTATACTGTTAAAGGCCCTCCGTGTATGGCTAGGTTGGTAAACATACTAAACTTTTAGGATTAATTTTACTTACAGAAAGCTCAGGTGATATGAAATCTCTCTACTGCAGGTAAGAGAAACATCCCTAATAACTAAACTGTAGCATAGCGATGACAAAAAAAAAAAAAAGGTTCCAGTTATAGTTCCCAAAACAAGTCTTTCTGAGTAAAAAAAAAATCTATCAGAACACAGAAGTCTTGTCAGAAAAAAAGATGATGGATGGAAGACAATTTCATAATTAAAGTACCACACCATATCACTGCTATCATATTTTATATGAACCCATCTGTTACTGTTAGACCGTTTCAATAAAAAAAAAAGGTTCACCGTTTACAGAACTCACCAGACCAGATTGTGGACTACATCTGAATCCAAGCCTACGTATTGGTCACAAATGTGATCTGGTCCTGTTGTGGATTTGTATTCTTGAGAATTCAGACTTACTGCAGTTGAGTCTACAATGGAATTATAGGTTTTTAAATTAAAAGCTGGTGGGTGTTAGCACTCCAGGTATTACTGCATCTACATAACAGAAATCAGATCTTTAGTTTTCAGGCTTGTTACCTGTCAAACTGACTACTGTAACTTCTACCTGGTCTACTTTTAAGAATAGGCTTAAAAAACCCCTGATTAGGTTTATAGGTGAAGTGGCTGAGGTTATCCTGACCTTTTTCTACAGTTATGCTACTATAGGCTTGGGCTGATGGAGTACATAGGGACCACTTTCCATCATAGTATTTCTATTCTCCCATTCTGCAGTATGTTAGTTCATCATAGTAGCTTAATCTGGTCTGGTTAGGTTTGGCTTGGCTGTGACACCATCCTCAGCTGCTGCCTTTAACACCAGTTCTCTGTGACAGACCTGGACCAGTTTTTGATGCTTAGCCATGTTTCTCTCATGGACAAAGATATGGACTCTGCTTTTACTGTGACTAACCATCAGTAGCTCTCCTTCCTATTTTATGCAAACACCATCTCAGAGCTCATCTGCTTACCTTTTTTTTCCCTAGACAGAGCCACCATGGAGCTAGTTACATTACCTTTTGAATAAAGTATAACATCAGTTCTTCAATATTCCTTTTGTATGTCTTTTATCTCCTTGAACCCCCACACCCCCTCGGCAGAAGGTGCACACACTGAGACCGATTCTGCTGTAGTTTTCTTCCTGCTATAAAAGGGGACAATTTCCCCTCCGTCATTGCATGTACAGTGAGAAAAATAAGCTTTTAAAAAAAAACTGTTTTAGGTTCCAAAGGGATACATGGGGGGGGGGGTTTATGCTCCTCTTTACTCTGCCATTTCAGATGGGTTTCTATATAGGCATATGTAGCTGTAGTTCTACTGTTCACTTATTTCTAAATCACATTAAGTAATTCTACCACATTAGAACCAAAGCAAAGTTTTAATCTATTATGGCATTAAATTTACAAGCGGTGATACCCAATATTTGCTGATGTTTCAATGTTGTTCCATGTCAACACGAATTACCTGTAACTGTTTAGTGCCAATTTGTAATTCCCATTCCTCCCCAACCAAAAACAAAAGCTGTACATAAGTAACCTTTGCTAAGATACTCTGTTATCTTATCAGTTAAAACATAGCAGGTTAGAAAATACATCAATCTTGAGGGATGGGAAAATTGGGGCCAATCTATCACTTCACAGCTTTACAGAGAGTCGTTTGTGTCTTTGCAAGGACGCTCTCAAATAAAACAGTGAAGAATCATTTTAT